TGCTTGTAAAAAAAAACTCCGCCTTTAGAGTGCGCCATGCCATGGTTTGGGGAGCATGAGATAAGGGAACTCGCGACTCCACTTCTCTCCACTTCTCAGCCTGCTGGTGTACTCCAGCAATCTGCGTAACAAGTTCTAACTCAAGGGGCCCCTGTTGAGCCCGCAGGGCGTCAGCTCATAGCTGTCAAACATATGTTGCAGCGACGAAGTGCATCTGACTACAAATCTCACGCTATGGGCCTTCTCGGGCCTGTCCAAGGGTAGTCAGTGTCAGTGCCCCAACCCTCTCCATCCTGACCTCTTCAAAGGCCAAAAAAGTGCAAGCTTCGTATATGTGTGTGCTTTGAAGTGATTTGGTAAAGGGCGGAACGTAAGCAGGGATGCTTAGAGCCCTTTCGGTAGCTAGGGCAGAGCCGATCGACAGCTCTAAAACCGCCACAAAAAAAGCACTTCGGCACCGATGGTTTGGACTTGGAAGTGCTAGATCGCCATACCCTGATTTGCATTGGATGTGCACATGTACATTTGGCTCGAGGATTTTAATGCAAACGATACCAGTGTGAGACTGTGGTTGAAAATTCGTACGGTAGCAAAGCTCTGGTCGAAAGTCAGGGTCTGCAATGCTAGACAGAATCGCACAGGCCGTGAGCATGACATTATTATTACTCGGCACCACATTCATGGAACCTTGCGACGCTAAAACGCAAAGAGATCAGCGAAGAAACGATTGAAGCTGAACACATTGCACGGTCCCACGGAGAAAAAGGGAATCGGAGATTCGTCGACTTGCCATGATCCATTTAGCAACCGCGGTTTTCGGTTCAATTTCAATACTTCAAGTGACGGCTTCGGGACTTGATCTACATGTATTGGTCCAACTTGGCCGTGTCTATCGCTGAAACAGCAACTGGAACACATCATGATGACGATTTACTTGTGCAGCTGTTCATGACGAAGAGCCCAGGACCATTGCAGCACCACCTGAGGCTGAATGTTGACACATTGACTGCTGCCGATCAGATGTTGAGTCCTGTCACGCAGAGGTATGCATCAAGCGCACTGTTGGACTCAGATGTGCAGTTTCCTACGCACCTTTCAGCAATGAGAGCAACGCACAGGCTAAGGACAGTGACAAAACAAAGGACAAGGACATCAAGGACAAGTGCCAAATTTCAACTGCGGCCCGCATTCACGGGAAGCAGAGTGGAGTGATTGACGACACGGACGAGCACTGCGAGCATGAAGATTGGACAAATATTCGGTATGCTGATTAACTGAGGCTGATGACAACACGCTCCAGAGACAGCGCCGGCAAACTTTGTTGGCTTTGGTCGACCGGAAAAGACGAAGATGAAGTGCAGCCGCTTCCGCGAGCGCCTGCTGCGGTCTGTTCATAGGAGACCGCAGGGGCATTGATGCTGACTCGCAAACCTTTATTTGCAATCCGGCATTGTGGACCCGCCTTGGGTGTTGTTCGACAGTGGAGATTCTGCTTTTCGTGTTCCTCCTGGGTTGGCCGGAAGTTACCCACTGGCGCTTGCACAGCACTTCGACCCAGTTCTCGTAAGGCATTATGAGCATACTCGGCAAGGTCTCTAGATTTGCCGAAAGCATGCATGACTTGAAGCAGGATGCATGGGCAAATCCTGTACGAAGTTTTTGAAGGGTCGACCGACACTGTTGCATCCATCTAGAATCGTCTTCGGTCACCGTAGAAGCAGAACAAGATGGAATTGCTGTGGCCCTGCCATACGAGTATAACTCATTGACCAACATGGACTATTGGCTGCAAGTTCCCAGCTGGGATAGCACATTTGGTGATTTGTTACATGCAGGTGGGTGCACGTATGTTGTGTTCAATGTGAAGACTTTCAGAGCATTGGCAGAGAGATGGAGGACCGATGGTACAGTATGATTGATGCTGGATTCGTTGCATCCGACCAAAACCTCGTAGATCTGGTGGTTCGAATTGATGAGGCTTCGCGGATATTGCAGACCAGTGACCAACAGTTCAGTTGCTGATGGTTTCCTGCTGAACAAGCTGGAAACAGCAGAAGTATGAAGTGATGCATCTTCCATCCAAAAATATCCAAATCTCGCTGTCACCGTTGCACGACGGCAGGGCAGCAAAACCCAGGCATGCTGCTGCAAAGAAAGTGACCGGTAGGCAACGTGTCAGTTAAGCTGACCATTGCTTCCAAGGCAAAGAGAGGGGTTGAGAGTGGAAGCCGGGAGGCCGACAGATGTTGGTAGGATGAGCATGCAAAGAAAGGCGTGCCCAACTGCATGCAAGACATGGTCATGAGCAGACGCAGCCACCCCGTAGCCTGCAATCGCTCTTCTAGATCTCGGATCACCTCGGACGCTGTCGGAACAGCAAAGCATGGACCGGCTCAATGCTGCGGAAGGCCTTCCGGAGCACCTGCGATTCAGCCTTGTCGCCGCAGCCATACAATCCACAAACGCTGAAGTCACCTTGACTGATACCGTTCATGCTCGCTGGCTGGGATTGCAGACTCTTCCAGACTAGCAGAGTTGGCATATTTTGCAGCTGCAATTCGAAGCTAAGTTACTGCACGCACTGCCGCTGCGTTCCTGGCGGGATTGCGATCTGTAGACTTTAGCCAATCGCAAGCACCGGGGGGCAGAGTGCTGCTGAGATCTGGACGGAACTAAACCGCCCGCTTCGCCGAGTTAAATCAGCCTGTCTCTGTCTGAAATCTGTCAAGCCGGTGTCACTTGAAAGGAAGCAAAGTAAGAGCGCCCGATGATGGCTTCAGCCTTGCTGCATATTGCTGCAAACAGTGCCTCCTGGACTCCTGAAGCCGTAGTCTGCAACCTGAACACATGAACATGTCCCAAGATGTCCGAAAGACTTGCGAGACGAGGTGCGAAGCCACGCGCTCCCAGTCGGAGATGTCCAAGGAGTCCAGGCTTCCGTCGGAGAAACTGCTGGGGCTGGGGCTCAGACTTCCTGGGCGCTTGGGAGGATTTCTGCCGCACGAGCTGAGGCTAAGCCGAAGAGCTGGAGCCGGACCGGGGAACAGCTTGAGGAAGTCCTCGGAGAGAGTGAAGGAGTGGGTAATTACTCAGACATCTGCGCATATCCGCTCTCTCGTCCTTCTCCCGGCAGGTGCGGCGTACTGATCAGGAATTCCTGAGTGGGGAGCTGCACGTACAGACGCAGTAAATCGCAGTACTTTCCTCGGACTCCTGCGATCACTGCGAGCCACCCAAGAAACAAGAAACCCAAAGTGTTTGAGGTTTGTGCAGGTCTCGTCATGTGCCAACACGGCCTGTCCCGCATGGCGCGCTTGGAGTCCGCATGGCCACGATTTCTGGGGTGCCAAAGCCAATTTCGGCACCTTCACGGGTCGGAGCGGACCAGCACCAGTTCGAGGAGTCAGCAACGGGTGATTCTCAGGAGGCGCCGGGAGAGGTGGAACTTCCACATTGGAGCCAGGCCAACACCGCATGCCGAGTCCAGATTGCGCGTCCCCCCGTGCAGATCCTTGTCTTCCATCTGACTTCGAGCTCTTGGCATGGGCTCTGTCCAATGCCAATCTAGGTACACAAGTGCTGCGTCTTACCCGCTCGGTTTGACAGCCCGTGTCCGTGTGGTGATCTTCTGCACTTGGTACGGAGTTCTCCTCCAGTCCCTGGGCAAGGCCCCACAGCACCGTCTTCGAGTCACCCTGCAAGGCCTTCCAACATGGAGATTCCACGAAGTCTTCTCGGCTAAGCCGTTGCATGCTGCACATCTTCGCCACTGCCGGGCATAACTCTTCGGATGCAGGAACTTCGACACAGTCAGCAAAATCAGCGACGACATGGAAACGGCCTTGCACTGCAGCCTTCTCTTCCCGGCACGGTGCAGGCACGCAAGCCATTGCGGAAAAGGCCTTTGTCACAGACAATCTTTCCTTTCGTTCGGTATGGGCAGAGCCGCCCTTTCCAAATGGTTGCACGTCGCTCGTGAAACCTGTGATCGCTAAATCGCGGCCTGTCTCGGGGTGTCCCGGTGTCACCGAAGCTCTTGGACATTCCAAGCTGTCGGATACCCACCCCCTCATTTCATCGCTCTCGACACTCCCGACTCGGTCACTTCTGGAGGTTTGGCCAGACGTCCCCAAGTCTGAGCCTGCAGTGACCGAAACGCATCCATCCAGCGACGCCGATTCAGCGAAAGCAGCTGCGATTGGGGCTCCATGCGAAGCTTCCTTCAAATTGTCCTGCCCTTCCTCTTCCCACTGGGTCTGTGTCGCGGCCTCAAACTTCAAGGCATTGCCTCAGAATCGCAGAAAAGCACAGCACTGCATGTGAGAGCCATTGCTTGAGGCCACCGCGCTGCACTGGACGCAGAAGGCTCTGCTCTGCAGCGAGCCAGTTCTGTTGCTCGGACCTTGGGACGGGCTGACGAGCTCAATGCAAGACAAGCCCTGGCTATGATAAATGCACTCTGTAACCAACGTGCTTGCTCCCTCATCACTCTGCATCCTGTTTATCTTTCGCAGATTTTCGCAGTAAAAGGCAAGCTTGTGTTCGCCCTCGCCGGGTATGTCGAGGTACTGTCAAGTCCGAACAGAGCCGCAATTGCGAAATGTCGCCTGCTCATGAGGAAGACGTAACCACGGCAAAGCGACTCTATACGGGCCTTGTGAGAGGACAGTTGTATCATCCGAAGGAATGAGCTGTTCTGGGGCTTTGAGGACATCGTGAAAGCTCAGCACAGGTTTGCACAAACATCTTTCCATACTTACGTTTATTGCAGCACACAACTTGAAGTCCCATGTGTGTGTGTGTGTAAATGGACACCTGCTGTTCCCCGAAGAAAAGACTAACACCTCCATCAACCTAGAGAGCATCAAGATGCAGGACATGACGGTCGTACTTGTCGCCATGTTCTCTCATAATCTCATAATTTTTGTCCACTATCACTATCGCATCAATCAATACAAACCTAGATGTTCCCGGTACATGGCGCCATGGTGAAGGAAAACTACGGTGCTTCAGGCTTTAGGTGGTTTTTCTGAGCCTCTTTTGGCTTTGCTTTACAAGGCTCCGCTGGTTTCTGGCTGGCTTTCCAGAAGAAAGACCGCTATCACAACAACCAGAAGTCCAACAGATAGCAGCTGATGCTCGACAAAGTGATTGACTGCCAGCTGTAAGCATCACACAGACAGGACACGACTGACTATTTGTACATGCCGGGGCCCCGGCCGAAAGTGCAACACTGCAGTCAAAAAAGCTGAATACATGCTAGCATGAATGGCGGAACCTCCACGATTCATCTGCTTCAAAGTACGGACCTATTTGCGCTAGAGCTAGATGCTCCACATCTATAATCTATGCTCGGTTGACTTTCGAAGGGGTGTCTCTCGAAACAACTCGACGCTCCATGAATGCAAGGAATGAGCGCTGAAACAAACAACTTGCAGCGAACAACCCCCTCAATGTCAGCGTTACAAATCCCCCGCTCAGAGTGGTCTCGTTCAATGCTCGCGTTCCCCTCCGTTACTGTGCATGCACAGCATCTGTTACACTCTCCCTCCCTCTCTCTCTCTCTCTTTTTCTTTGTCTGGGGAGTGTAAAGCCCTTCTCTTCCATGGGATCTCTTTTCCCGCAAGTTTGCAAGAAAGAGGGCGGACGCTGTCCGACAGGGTCTGGCAATGTGAAGGCCAGGAGGCTCTTGGATTTGGTGACAAGTAGTTGAACGAGGGGCTGCAATGGGTCAAGACTTGCACATCCTGCACCGAGCAGACCAGCAACATGCCACCTTGCTTAGCTGCTGACATCCATGGATGTTCTTGCCAGATAAGAAACGCCCGGCGACGAGTCTCCTCGACGGCGCGCACGAGAAGGCCTTGTCCGGCGCCTCCGCACGATGAACATGCTTGAGCCCTGGGCGGCCCTGGCACTTCACCGCTGTACTTCGAAATTCGACTTGTCTCTTTGAAAGATCTCCAACAAGAACGACGGCCTTCCATGAGCTTTGCAACGAAGCGGGGCGACAGCCTCCCATGCTCTCAGTGTATGCCAGCTGACGAGAAGCACCTTACGAGTCTGTCCTCACTTCCTCAAGTTCTGCCACTCCCGATGCCATGCCTTCAGCAAACACTCTCACGCACACAACGCGACAGCGAAGTTGCTGAGGGAAAGATATCATGAAGCATTCCTGACAGGCAGCCGTTTCCCACCGCGGCCGAAGATCGTCGTCAAGCTAAACTGGGCACTGCTCCAGCCGAAAGCATCGGGATACTGGGCATTGGTTGCTGTTGGCGACAATGACTGGTATGCAGCAATGCCTGTTTTGCCACTTGAACGATCCTGCATTCGATGCTGAGCAAGAGGCTTGTTGGAGTCGGCCCCAAGGCTGTTGGGGCATTAGCCACTTTAGTTGCGAGAAAAAGACCCCTTAGCATCACCGTGGAACCGGACAGATCGTACGCAGCGAGCTCCACCCTGTCTATACAGTCTCGAAGTCACGTGTCACTGGAATGGAGCCTTACCAAATTTCTGCCCTGTGTGAATCTGCTTGAAAGGCTCTTGTGGCTGCATCTCGAGAGACTTGTGCAACAGCTCGTACAGGAAGCAAGCACGCCCCTGGCCAGTTGTCTCCAAGTATAAACTTGGCCCTGAATGCACGGGTTTTTCCACTGCTCGCGGCGCACGCCTCTTAATCTAGCCTGCTGTCCGCGAGGAAGAGGCATCCCAAGGTCGAACAGTTTACGAACACTTCCAGACAACCCTTGCAACTGTACTGTGCACGTCAGCCTGCATTACTGCAAGCCGCTTTGCCTGTACACCATGTGCGGCGTGCAATGCGTACTGCGGACACTTTCGCAACAGGTGCCAACTTTTGGCACGCTGCAGAGACGGAGGTACTGTAAAGACCTGGTCAATCAAGCTACGAGGCATGCAAAGTTCAAGAGTTTTCTCGTGTTTTTCAAAGGTTTTGCGCAGTTTCTGCTAGGCATTTCAGCAGCCACCGCCTGTACATGTAGTGAGGATACCCCGAGATCTTGCTTTGGTCTTGAGGGATATGAGGGATCTGCTGGCGAAAGCTCACAGCTACTCAGGAATTGAGAGTGCAGGTTGGACCATGTTGCGCTTGAAGCTGCAGGGCGTTGCGGGAGTCTACAGTGCCAAGTCCTTCAGACTTGGGGAGCAGACGAGTGGAAGCACTGACGGTTCACCTTGTTCGGAGCTTAATGACCTTTCTATGGGCTGTTTACGGGCTTAAAGCTCGATGTGTGCCGGGATTTCTGCATCGGCATGTCGCGAGCCCTCATCTTTGAGCAAAGCAACGGGGAATAACGGGGACTAGTCGGATGAGCAGAATGCATCAGAATGCCATCGTCGTTTTCCAGCTTCGATCGGCCATGGAACTTTTCTTGTTACCCAGTGGCCAGGTTGCTGACGAGCCTTGAATCGTGGCAGCTGCATTGAAGGTGCGTAGATCAAATGGCAGTAGCTGACACAGGATGCTGTTCATACACATCCACGTCGTGCACCTGCACCGAGCGCACAGACTCCCAGCGCTGCTTAGCATTGCATTGTATTGCACCTTGCCGAGGCCCACCTGCCCCATTTGCCACACAGGTCAGCATACTCGGGGCAATTCTCCAGATCCACTTCTGCAGCAGAGCACAGGGGCCCAGAGAACGTCAGACCAGAGACTTTGATGGCCTGAAGGCGGTGGTGCATCTCACCACGACATGACCTCCACCCTTCGGCTCATGAGCCTGACATCGACTAGCCGACTAGCTGTTGCAAGCGGCGGCGTCTCGAGGGCAGAAGCCGTTCAACATGATTTGCCAGGCCCAGGAGCCAGGAATGCAGAATCTGCGAACCATGACCCAGTATGGTTTGCTCTGGCCTAAGATGCGGTACTCGAGCGCCACAGACGGCGTGTGCCATATGCATCTGCAGATACCTTGAATGATCTTGGATGCAACCGGGACACATACCAGCGCCAAACTTGTAAAAGTCCTCCATTCACGTGGGGATGCGCAAAAACATCGAACGCTTGACGAATTGATGGAACAGGGTTTCTAGATGCTTGTCGTGCTTCCAGTGTTGGGATCGGGCTTGGGGTTTCAGGGTTTCGTTCACTTGTCTCCCGGGAGTTGGGCTGAGGGTTTTGGGACCACTGCAATCAGAAAACATGCGCACAGGGAAACACTGCTGGAGGTTGGGTTGGGCTTCGCCTTCGGGTTCGTGGATTTAAGGGCTTAGAGCTGCGATAGCTGCATGGAGACAGGCGGAGCCTTGCCGAGACTTGGTATACCTCTCGTTGTGGTCTGCAGCTGGTTGACACAAATGCAAGCTTTACGTAGAGTTTTACATGCTCCGATGGCAAGTGGCGAACATTCGCAGCCCTGCAGGCCCATCCAGATCTGTCACCCTCTGCCGCACAAGCTCCTCACCATAACAAACATGCTCTATCGCGTGGTCAGCTGCATCGCGAGTATCCGATTTGCACTGGTCTCGCTTGTCAAGGTGCATCGAAGCGCCCGAAGGATGCGCCAAGACCACCGCCGGCAGCACTCCTTTTTTCGGTCGACCCTTGCTTTGTTCCACTTGCACACTCACTGAGAAGCGCGTTGCACGCTCTGTGCTGTCGCCAGGACCTGGAGCCAGGTCCTGGCAACAACAGTAACTCGAAATCAGCAGAGCAACCATGACTTCGTGCCAACGACGCAGCCGTGCCGCTGAACTCGAGCACTGCAGAAAGGCTTCAACCTCCGTCAATCAGCCAGACGTTCTGCAGCACGACTGACACTAAATTGAATAAGACAAGCCGGAGGAACTCAGATCACTCAAGTGAAAAACTCTCGGTTTCGGCCGTTTGATCCTGCGATTCTCGGGCTGCATTTTTCTTTTCAGGAATGTCGGATTTCAGCTTTCGGGTTGTCGGCATTGAAACGGTTGAGCTCTGGGATTCTTGGCTTGGTGTAGTCTGTCTGTGCCATCCCCGTGCTTGAAAAGTTGTGCAGACCTGGCGGTGGGGAACCGTGTCGTGACGGGCCCCAGTTATTCCGGCCTCTTTAACGCTGTCTCCATCTCGGAATTGAAGCTTTGCGCCGCCTCGTCTTCGCTGCACTCGAGCAGGTCCTTCGAGGTACTCGAACGTCGACTTAGCCGAATGCAGAAAAGCAGTGTCCTGCTGCCCCACCTGTCGCGGGCATTCATGCGTCTTGAGGTAGTTGCAAATAGTGTACCAGGCGGACACCTAGCAGCATCATGCCGCAATCGGCAAACGAAATTCACAAAGGCGAGATGGAGAACTTCAGTGAAATGCTGCCCCGGAAACAGACTCCCTTGTAGTTCGAGGCAGGACAGCAATTGGTACACAAGGCATTCCAGCAAACCCAATGCGAAAGGGACACCCTCCCGCACTGGTGACAGGTGCGATCTCACTGTTTGGCTCACGCGCAAGCTTGAGTCACATCCGTAACAGCATCAAAGGTGCGGGTCCTGACAGTTGGCTAGCTGGTGCCTGCACGAATGTACATGAGTGCAGCTTTGCTTTCACACCCATCGTTTCTTTACAAAACCAAGCCACCTTTGGCAGCTTTCTTGGAGTTCCAATTCCGGTCAACACTCAGGTCTTCGGTTGCCATCAACTGCGGCAACTGTTCATCTTTCATCTTCTTCATCAAGGAGCCTGCTGGCATCGATCCAGTTTCTATCCACTCCACGCGCGTTGTGGCACCGGAGGGTATCGTGTCATTTGCCAAGGGGTCGCTGTACTCCTCGCTCTTGTCTCGCCATACAATTTGCCTCATGGCACTCATGTCCATGGCCAGTCGTTGGTGCTTCCAAGCCCCAGCCTGAAGCAAGTGAGCCTACAGTCCGTGTACGTTTGCACGTCGATGAAGTCCATAGCCTTTGTCCTCCAGTTCTGGTCGTGCTTGTGCAACATGCTGTACATGACTGTTCTCATGTGTTCGGCTTCCTCGACGCCTGCCACCAGGCTGAGGGTCTCAGCTTGTAGCGTCGATCTGCAGTGTTGCTGGTGCTGAAGGCAACCCAGTTCCACTGTTCACGAAGTCACGATCTGCCAGGCATAGCAGACATGCACTTTGTGATCGGTTTTCCCATCATCTTGCCACATTTTGAAACGTCGAAGAGGGCAGCATACGAGGCATCCGTGATCGACAGAATTACTGCCTCGTCAAGGTTCATTCCTCCGTACTTATAGAAGATCCCGATGCCAGTCGTCTCCTGCAAGTGGCGCGCAGCTTGTTGGCCTGGACAAAGTCCCCGACCGTGGCCTCCTATTGCGTTGTCAAGGGCCATAAGCTGCAAGGGCTCATGTTCTCCAGGACCAGGACCGGGAGGCAAGGGCCACGGCGCCTACGGCCAGGACTACGACTATCGCGGAGAAGAAGAAGAAGCAGATCAGTGGGCAGATGATAATGACGACGACCACCCACTGTGCTTGAAAGGACAACTGGATATCTCGGATGTGGGCAAGATCTCGGATTACGAGGGATTCCTGCCAAAAACATTCTGGAAACGTATTCCGGATGCTGCCAGTCTATAAATAGTTATGTTTGTGCATGTTCATTTTGTGGTCTCAGATTTGGATAAGCCTAGAAAACCATGTGTGTCAGCTGAGTCGAAGAACATGATCTGGGAATGCCGGGAGTGCAAGTACAAGTCGTACGTGGGCAAGAAGAGCAGCTTATCAGATGAATCTCTATGGTTGCATGAGAGCGTTGATGATCTGCTTTGGGCAGGAAGCGACAACATGCAAAAGGTGATGGAGGGCATCCAGACTGAGCTCAAGTTCGGGAGCCTCGATGTTGGAGACTTCGCCTACTGCGGCAGACAGATAGCCCAGACAACGGAAGGAAACAAGATGACGTGCCCGAACACCGCTGCCAAAGTACGTCCGATCTTCCTCTACCGCGCGAGGAAGAAGCAACAGGACGCCAGAGCAACCGACCCGGAAACGAGCCAGCTCAGGAGCGTGCTCGGAAGCTTGGACTGGGTCGGGCGTCTGTGCAGGCACGACATCAGCTAGGGGCTGTCGGCCTTGCAGGCCTGCCAGAAGCAGCTCCACGCTCAAAGGGAATTGCGCGGAGGCCGTGCTTCACAACGGTCTTGTCGAACTTCTTCCAGGATCCTCTCGGTGCATGTTTCGTGCCGTAGACGGGCTTGTTCGCTATCATGATCGATCCCGGCTCGATGCCCTCAACACCATCGGCAGGAAGGCTCAGGATAAGGCGTCTGTTGGTTGATGCCTTCTCTCTGTAGAAAGGCCGCCGTGATGTGATGTCGCCACAGGTTTTCATGTCGGCTGCAAGGTTCCTACCTTTGCTATGTTCGGTCTTATTGAAGAGCCTCGGATTCCGCAGCCACGGGCGAATTTTCTGCGCCTTTGACTGGCAACCTTCTTCCAGCAGCCGTGGCAAGGGTGAAGTTCAGCATCGCCTGGCTGCACGTAGGAGAGTCAGTCCTCAAGCCTTCGCTGTTCTTGAAGTCAGCTCTCACCACCATTCTGGCCTTGTGCCGTTCATCCTTCCAGGGCTGAGACTTCAGTGCGTCGACCGACTTGGTCGGGATCACCTCCACATCTGGATTCTCGCGAAGGAATTCCTTGGCTGCAGCGGGTCCCAAGACTGTGGTCGCGTCAGCATCGAAGCCGGCTCAATTGGACCATTCCTTACGCCTTGCCTCAAGCATCTTCTCTCGCCGTTGGGGATCGGCTTTCCTCAGTGGCCCGTGCAGCGATGGTCTACTTGTTGTTGCGCCGCGGCAGGAAACCGTCAAAGGTGTTTGGCCTATCACCGCCTGCCGTGTTTCTTGACATCGGTGGTGGCGATCTCGACCTTCCGCCTCGGTTTTCTCCTCGGCTGCCTGTGTCTTCGCCCGTGGTTGTAGTGGTTCTGGTGGTCGGCACTCCGTCGAGCATGCTCACCGAGCTCGGCATTGCGCTCAGCAGTCCTCCTCCATTTGGTATAGGAGGCGTCTCTGCGGTACTCTCTCGAGGTGGCACGTCACTTGTGGAAACCATGCGGCTTGCAGGGACACTCGGCGGGATCATATCCAGCTCCGGCTCCTCAGTCTGGCTGCGCAGGTGGCAGTTTTTCCCTCGGTACCGGTGGGAGTTCTTGCTGCGGTCGTTCTTCTCGTAGGGGAGGGAGCGCAACACGCTCAGCTTCCGGCGAGGGACGCCTGCTGGGCGCCTCCAGGCTCAGGTGTGGGTGTTGGGGATCCAGCCAGGTCGTCTCCATGAAGGCTTTAAGGGGTGCTCAAACTCCTCGTCAGGCTCCATCTGTTCTCTTCTCCTTTTCCTGGTCGGTCTCAGCCATCGCCTCATGTCGAGGCGGTTCAGCTGCCTGCGCTGTATCAGAGTTGCAGGAGGGTCCGGGTCCCGATGAATCGCAGTTCCACTCCTCGGGCTGTAATCGCCTCATGAAGATTCTGCGGTTGTGGGCGCCACAGTCCAGTACCAGGCTCTTCGGTGGCCCAGCCCAGTCCTGAAGGCTTCGAGGCACTTTCCTGAAGAGGGGATTCCGCCGACATCCGAGACGATGGCAGCGGTGCGGTAGAGTGTCCCCATGCGCACCGCCGAGAGCACCGTAAAACGATGTCGCTCCACATCGCGTATCTCGAAACAGTCCAGAGCAACCTCCACAGCCTCCACATTAAATCTGTAGTCGCTTGGCTGTCTCGCCGCGGCCTGGCTTCCGGCTTCTTCCTGTGGCACAGGAAATCTCTGCATAGAGCTCGTCGAGGAATGTCCGTCATCGTGTGCAGCCATCTCGCGGCTATCGTGGTGGACTCTCAGAGCTTCCTCCACCGAGCCGGACCGAGCCCTTTGCTCACGTAGCGGTGTGCGGTGTGCTCTCCTCCGTTTCCAGCTCGTCGCTGACCGTCTCCTCGTCAATGATTGCATCCTAGTCTGATTCCTTGGCACGTGGTCTTCCACTTGCTCGGTCACCTTCGCCGTCATAGACAGCATCCAGGAGCAACGG